AGGTTACATCGATATTCCATCGATCAAGGCCTGTTGTGCTATAGCACGGATGTGGAGGATACCCCTCGCATCGTTGTCCCTCATGATGAGGAGTTGAAGTATCGGATCCTCTATGAGGCACATGATACTGCGTTGAGTGGTCATCTCGGTCGTGAAAAGACCTACGGCTCTGTGAGCCAATTCTATTGGTGGCCCAAACTATACAAATGGGTGAGCACCTATGTACGTACGTGTGAAACGTGTCAACGGGTGAAACCCTCACCACATGCGGCAGCGCCGCTGGCTAGTTTGCCTATACCCAAAGGGTGTTGGGAGTCCATCAGTATGGACTTCCTGTTCGGTTTACCGACGGATTCGTATGGAAATACGGGTATTGTGGTCTTTGTTGACCGTTTGAGCAAGATGGCTCATTTAGCGGCGGTGCCAGACACCATTGATGGTGAAGGTACAGCGACGCTGTTTATCGATCGCGTGTTTCGACAACACGGTCTGCCGTTGGCAATTGTCTCTGATAGAGATCCTCGCTTCACTGGGAAGTTTTGGAATTCCATCTTCAAGGTGCTCGGCACACGTTTGGACATGTCCACAGCGGATCATCCGCAGACCGATGGTCAAACGGAGCGCGTTAATCGTGTCATTGGTGACATCTTGCGCAGTGTTTGCGCTGAAACACCTAAGCGTTGGAGCTCGATGCTCCCTGTCGTTGAGTTTGCGTTGAATAACGCTGTGCATGCCTCCACCGGCTTTACCCCGTTCTACGTGAACGGTCTCACACACCCTCGCGTTCCGTTAACGCTACCACTACGTGGTTCAGGGCTTGGTGGGGGAGGAGTTGCCGATCGGCTTGCTGATATCAGCCCTGCTACTGTTCAAAAACAGGTAAGCGAGTTTCTCGCAACGCGATTGAATGTCTTACGACATGTGCGTGACGCACTGGCTGATAGCCAAGATAAGCAGAAGGAACAAGCAGATGCCAAAGGCAGAGGTTGTATTGAACGTTATAAGGTCGGAGACCAAGTTCTACTCAATGCTAAAAACCTACCTACAAATGTAGTATCCGCCGTCTTCAAGACGAAGTTGCGCCCGCGCTTCATTGGACCCTTTACGGTCGTCGCCAAGAAGGGACTTGCGTATACGCTCAACCTTCCGCGCAAACTGCGCACACACCCCGTGTTCTACGTTGGCATGCTTAAGCCGTATCGGGATCCGTCCCACGTGAACTTGGAGGCGCTTGCGCCGGGTAGGTTGGCTTTGCCATCGGTTGCTGAATCCGTATCAGGAGGTCAAGCTGAGCCTCCATCCGGGCTTGGCCCAACTCCAACGCCCGAACACGGGCTCGCATTGCGTCGAACGCACTCTGGGTCTGACCCAACGTCTCACGGAGACCACTCAGCTCGAGAAGCACCTTCTCGTGCTCCTCCTTCGGTATACCGACCACCTCCGACGCTGCTCGATGAGCAAGGGAACCGCCAGTTCCATGTGGAACGACTCCTGAAACGACGTCGTCGTCAGGGTCAATACCAGTATCTGGTAAAGTGGCGAGGGTACCCGGAGTCGGAGAACTCGTGGGAATTTGAGGTACCCCTTCGGCAGGATTGCCCGTACGCCGTTGATGTTTTTGAACATCGTGGCAGGGATCATCCTTCGACCGATATCGCTTCCCACCAATAGTGGTGGAAGCAGGTGGGTCGTTTGGTTCCGCTTGACCAACTCCCACTTCCATCGGCACAGCCGGAGCATAGCGGGTGCGAAATCGCAATTGGCCTCTGGCCTTAAGCTTGGCATAGTCATACCGAAGCTTTCGTTCGAGACGAACATCTGCCACATTGGCACTTGCTCTGAGAGCTAGCATGCTGCTGAGGTGACGTTTCCGGTGCACCCAGCGCACAAAAGTGTTGTCCTCCTCCTCCGGAGATTCGCCTGCGAATAAGAGGATGGGTATACCCCTCATCGGTGGCACCGGTGCACCCCGTGCTTGCGTGTCAAGTCGCAACTTGTATTGACTTAGAGTCGTCAAGTGGGGTTGCAGGTACCTCTCACGAAGTGCCTGTCGGCTCGCCACTTCATCAGAAGATGTAGGCTCAGCGCCAATGGCCCACGTTGCCAGGGAACGACCTGTCGTTTGGCGTATACGCTCTTCCACATTGAGTGGCGTGAACTGATAGCCACGACGACCCTCAAGGTCTGCAGCAAGCTGCATACGGCGCTGAGCGCTCTCCTCTTGTTGGATTACCAACTCTTGTTGCTCATCGAGCGGGTTGGTGATGATGTGTTCACCTGCATCTGTTGCATGATGCTGCGTTTCTAACGCGGTGGTCTCACTACGCTCGGCAAATGGGTTTGGTGCAGTATGAGGCGATGCCTCTTGCACTGGTGAGTTGGACATTGTCCGTTCTTCACCACGGACATCGGTATCACTACCATAGTCCTCCTCCACATTAATGCCGAGGTAAGAAGAGAGAGTCGGGGACTCGTTAGGTGGCGATGCCATGGTGTTTCGTGCTTTGCAAACCGTGAGGTTAGAGCGCACACACACCGTTTTCTTCGAGGAAAAGTTCGATTGACGTTTTGTGGTAACGTCAGTCTGGTGGGGGAGGGTGTAACGGGGTTACACGTCGGCTGGTAGCCGACGATAGGTGTGGTGCACACACGAGAGGGGGGGTATCCTATAAGGTAATATTAGAACACAGTGAGCGTATCAATTGTTGAAGACTGGTGTCTGTCATCAATTGATTGCAAGATCTTTTAAGAGGTTATTTAGGGCAGGTTAAATACGTTGTTCTAAGGTGTTCTTTTAGGATAAATGAAGAAATAAAATTCAGTTCCCATTTTGATCAACATAAGACACGTGCCTTACGAGGCGTCTTTGATCGGGAGGACAGAAGCAACGCCTGTAAAGGTAGCTTGTCCTCGAGCACTCTGTGCTGTGATTCATTTGAATCGTTTGGTCCCTCTGGAACGGGGACCGTAAGCTCTCTGAGCTGTTGACTCTCTGAGTCGGGTTCTCTGAACCACCCTTTAAGCTCTCTGAGCTGTTGACTCTCTGAGTCGGGTTCTTTGAACCGAAGTTGCTCATTGAGCGTAAAGTCTTCCTCTGACTTAAGGAGCTGTGTAGCTCCGCTACAGAATGTGCCTGATCACATGGTACATCTACATTAATCAGATTATGTGCGTCCTATCATTATACGCGTCTGTATATTAGGTACCGTCATCGAGATGACGTCACAGATTTACCGTAATGACGCGAGATCGAATAGGAACAGTTTAACGGTCAACTGTACAAAAATCTTATTCGATGATTTTCAGTAGTATCGAATAAACGCGTCTGAATCCATTCATAGTTTGGCGTCGGTGATAACCAAAATCCCTTTCTTCATCGTGTTCTATGACTCCTTGCGCTTGTTTGGAACACATGCCTCTTACTTGGTTCCGTCTCCGCGAACATCTAACACAGCATTCAAGCGAATATTTTTTAAGACGAGAGTCCTGACGCACACGTCGGTGACCCACGCTCCGCCAGCGTATCGTCCTTGTCCTGGTCAGCTGTAACGGGGCACACCCTTGCGTTTACTTAACGCAAGGGTTTTGGTGCACCCGACAGACGTACACGAGGCAAACGAGGAAGCGTGGATAAGGGAAAAGTAAAACCGTTATATTAATATAAATAAGTCTTTAACCACTGTCTCTCTGTTTGACTTAACTTGATTATACCAATTTAACTAAATGTATGACGACGTCTACTCACCACTCATTGCGCGCGTCTTGCGGCGATGAATAGGTTGACATCGTCCAGATATCAACCAATGAACAGACTCTTTGGTCGACCCATCAATATCACTGCCATTGGTGAAATTGTTAAAATAATATTCAACATTATATTCTTTATCGTCATTATTTTCTAAATGACAATTTCCATGTAACGGGCTGCCCCGTTACATCAGCAAAGACCGCGGTCTCATCCAGATTAACCACGTTTTGCGGCTCGATATTGCATTCGCGGACAAGATTGCGCAAGTGCAAAATGAAGTTGTAACTGGCGTGGCGGTGACTTCAGCAATCGGTTTCGGTTTGTTGGTTTTCTTTCGCAAGACTAGTTTGTGTCGGCGAAGAAAACACTCAAGCCAACCGTTCGAGAGAGCTATGTCGGGCTGATCTGTCATCGTCTAGAGGATCTATGCCGCCATTTCCACGACCCGACGTCGAGTGACACGCAGGTGCTTGGAACGAACTCTACGAACTTCAGCGATGGGAAGAAATTCCAGTTCTTTACGGGCAATACGGCGACCGCCCCCGCCAAGACTGAACCTGCTCGGCGACTCCTCGTCAAACGCGCTAGCCTTGTCTTGATGGATCCAGTCGCGGATGCAGCGACGGTCGACATTGTACTTGACGGCCACGGATCGTAACGATGCCTTCTTCGCCTCCCTAGCAATATGTTTTTCTCGCGATAGTGTAGCGTTGGCTTCCATGGTTGATCAGGAAATGAGAACCTATTAGCAGCAGCTGTAATGGAGAGCATGCTGGAGCGATAACCACTTCGGCGTTGTGGTGTTCTGATAGGCTCTAGAAGACGATATAGACTGCTCTTAGTTGCTTCGGACTGGGATTCTGTTAGGGGAGGTCAGTTGAAGGGATGGGTTTGAGGAGTGACGTTCAGAGGCACATGTGGTTATGTTGAAGGGGAGGCTCAAAATTGAAGGATGGGGCTTTCAAACAGCTATAACAGTATATTTCAAATCGTGATCGATCACGTAAATGAATGTGAGTGTAATGTTGTAACTTGAGCTACGAAATATGTATTGACAGTTAAATGTCAAGTTTTAGCCATTTTAGAATTGCTTCCATTTTTTTCGGTACATTATCCCAAATGTTTTCCTCCAAAATATAATACCTGGCGAGTCCATAATTTTAAAACAACGTTGTCGATCGACTACGATTGTTCGGACGCCTTCTCCACTTGCCAAGAGCGTCCTGACGACGAACCGAACTTCAGATAAGTCATGAACGTGCTGCGCGTTTGCAAGGGCAAACCCGTAACGTCCAACTCCTTCGTACGTCGCTTCGCCTCAGCGGCCACAGAAGATGCTACTCACGTCCCTCCAGCCGCTCCTGTCGTCGTGAAGAAGGGCGGCAGCTCTTTCGTGCAGCGAATCGTGTCATTCGGAGTGGGTGTGGCGGTGGGTGCCGGCTACGGTCTGTACGTGCTGACGGAGGATATCGAGAAGTCGACGCAGCAGATTCAGAGCTCCGTGGGCGTACTCAAGCACGAGATGATCGCGCAGAACGCGGGACTGACGAAGCGGATCGAGGCGCTCGAGGAGAAGACGAATTGAGACAGAGGGTCGAGGACGGATGGAGACGGACGCTCGAGACATGAGCCATTGGCTGGAAGAGCTTGACGCCCAACGGAAGGAACTTCTGTTAGGATGGCAATGCACGCAGCGACGACGCAGGAAGGAGGAGGCAAAGACAATGGCGCTTCATGATGTTGGCAGTCATCCGCTTGTTTGCTCTACACTGTTGTTCTCTATCGCTTGAGCTACATTCAACGTTCACTCACGTACACCATCGGCGTACGATCATTCGTCTGTTCTTCCCGTCTTGGCGGCTGTGCTTGTTACGAGCTGTTGCAAATCGGTGGACACGAGATTGTACACTTTGTCAGCCAGCTGCATCGACGTGAGGGCACTATGCAGCGACTCAATGTCCTTTCGCAAACTAGCGTTAAGCTCCTGCTTTTCCTCGAGCTGCTTCAACAATGTTGCAACGCGCTGCTCGTACGAGCGTAGCTCGCGCTGCAGCAAACAAAAGATAGCGACGTAGCGATCTCGTGATGCCGCTCCATCCGAACGCTCCACTAGCGTCTCATCTGCCATAAAGTCCTCGATCAACTTATTGATAGAGCTAGCATCAATCGTCCCAAGCGTCCCAGCAGCGCCGCTTCTATCGACATCGATACTGCTTCCACCTTTTTCGCAATCGTCTCCTGATTCGCAGTCGCCAGCACTGCCATTGCTTCGTCGACAACGACGCTGATCTAGCTGCCGCTGTCGAGCTCTTTGTTTTTCTTGCCAAAAGCTTGTGCTCCCTTCATGTACGCTTTCCGTCACCTCAACAATTTCCAAATTCGGGATATCCGATATCGAAATGCGCTTTGAAGCGCGGGGCAACGTCTGGTGAGGTCCACCAATCTTTTGTGTAGTGTCGATAAGCGCATCAGCGTCCGACAGTAAACAGCCAGCTGTGTCGTCGATATGCTGACACTCTTGACCTCCGACGTCTTCACCCATGCTGCTTGTAGAAATCGGTATTGCATCACTGGACGGCCCGATATCTGCTCTTTGACATTCGTCCAGTGCTTCAAGATCAGCGCTTGCAGCTGAAGACTCGGGACGAACCTTACTGACAAAGCTGCTCGCAGACTGATTCCACGGTAGATCACGCGCCAGAGCAGGAAGTGGCGTTCGAGAAGTGTTGTCCGTAGTCTGCTGGTCGCATTCAAGAGACGGCGTGTACAACCTCAGCATGCATTTCAATCCCAGTAATCCGTCAAAGTTTGTACTGACACCTACTGGGGACTGCTTCGTGGTTTCTCCGTCCGGCGCGATCTTGCGTAGGATCACTGGGGGTAGCCCGCAAGCAACGGCATCATGCTCATTCTCGTCCGATATGGCCATCTTGCAGAAAATACGCAGCGTGAGCACAATAATATCCCGCACCGTGTTGGACTCGGCTCGAAGCCGAACGAAGCAGTCTTCGCCCAGGTAAAGAAAGAACTCGTTGGGTGTGTTGCAAGCGATCTTGAGCTACAAGCGCAGTCAATAGACGGTTCGTAGACGGGCCACCACGTTTTCGTCCCATCACACATAGCACGACATGGTGAGCCTTCTGCCTCATGCCACCCAGTGAGAGAACAAAGACCATCATTACCTTGATCTCTGTAGAATACCGCCTCTCAAACGGAGGAAGTAGCGACGATTCACACGTCAGCCGCACCACGCGATCGTCACTTAGCAACGTCCAGCTCTCCTGCACACGTCAAACACCCACGACGCACCAGCTTAGCTCTCGTTCTTTCCCCCCCCCTCTCTGTCTCTCTCTCTCTCTCTCTGCGCTCTCGCCGCTCATCCAATAAATGGCCTGTCGTACTCGTAGTTCGTCCTCGTGCAGACAGCCATTGTCTCGTTTCTGCACCGAGAGGCTCTGCAGCCCCATGAAAAGCACCGACTTGCGCTCGAGGTACAGCTCCACTTTGCTCCTCACTTGCGGGTCCTCTTGGATCGGTCCGTACTCGAGCATCTTGGTCTTGAGCCCGTCCTTGTCTTCAATCATGACTTTCACCAGCACCCGCGCGCCAATGTCGTCGGCCGTAGGCGTGTACCACTCGTGACACGCCCCAGGGATCACTTGGAAATCGTCCTCGTCCCCCACCGCGCGGAACCACTGCACCGACACGGGATAACAGCACCACGTCGAGCGCAGCGGCCGTCCCAAGTACGTGAGCACGTGCATGTGCGTGTGGTGCACACCGCCCTGCAGCACGCAGTCCTCGAGCACGCGCGCGACGGAACAGACGCCGACGCCGGTGCAGCGCTCGACGTCGTGCGCGTACGCGGCAGTGGCCGCTCCCACGAGACCGGGCGCACACGTGGCCGCGTGCGCAGCAGTGGTGGACGGGGTGCTCGAAGGCGATGGCCGCCGCTCGTCGTGCCGCGGGGACGCCGAGATGCTGCGCTTGAGCGAGTCGACCCAGCGACTGCGCATAGTGGCGCGAGTGGGTTCGCTTCACTTGCGGTTCGTATGAACAGGCGGCGGCGGACGAGACGCGCCGGCTGTGTCTGGGCGTTGGATACGTCTGCGCGCGTGGAACGTACCGACGCGGGTACATTGTACCAGCGCAGCTGATGCGCCGCGTCGGTCGAAAACGCTTTTGATCTGATCTCGTTTTGTTGTGCGTTGCGCTCGTGGCGCAAGAGCGTGATTATGTAAGGCATGAATCAACGACCGTCATCACGCGTATTCTTGTCTGGGTGCGCTCCATGCAGAAACGAGGTAGCGTGACCATACAGTTACGCGTACACTCAGCCCGCTCAATACGTCAGAGCGTTGAGGTGATGCAATTTGGTTTCGTACCCAGCACAGGTCTCGGCGCTCGTTTCGATGTTATGCGGCAGCTCTAGTCAAGGCATGATGACATGGCGACAATCTCGCAGAAATGGCCGATGTCACAGTATATTTGCTCGCATCATCGATGGCACAGTGTAACGGGGCAGCCCGTTACATGAAATTGTCACTTTAAGGAAAGTGACAATAAAGAATATAAAGATGGATATTCTTTAAAACAATATCACCAAAGTGGTGATATTAAAGGGTCGACCAAAGGGTCTGTTCATTGGTTGATATCGTGATGATATCAACCCACCAATCGCCGCAAGACGCGCGCAATGAGTGGTGACGAGACGTCACCATACATGCAGTTATATTAGTATAATTGAATTAAGTCAAACGAAGAGACAGTAGTTTAAAGACTTAATTTATTAATATAACGGTTCTACTTTTACCCTACCTACGCTTCCTCGCTTGCCACGTGTACGTCTGTCGGGGCACTCAAATCCTTGCGTTAAGTTACTCAAGGGTGTGCCCCGTTACACCTGGTAGCACTTTGTAGTCCTTCCAAGGACCACATCATCCAACATGAACATGTTGGATGAAGAAGACACCTTTCACGCCACGCGTGAAGGGTTTACCCATTTGAGTGAAATCAAATGGGGTGCGGTAGAACGAATGAGTTCTACCGTAGGCGAACTCGTCGTCAGCACCATGTTGGAGTCTCTAGACAGAGACCAACAACATGCCGCTATCGCCAAGTTCATTCAGAATGAACTTGCTCTCGAGAGGGAGAAAGTAGCCTTGCTTCACCAGCAAGGCTCTCAACAGGCCGAGCAGTTGAGAGAACTCGGTGCTCAACAGACGGAGCTGTTGAGACAGCAGCAATTCCATGCTGCTGTGGGCGGGACGGCGCATGAGCGTCGTCCCGAAGTCATGAAAGTCGACATTTCCAAGTACAGTGGAGTCCCGGAGGACTCCCTGTTACTATGGTTTGTCGAACTCGACAGAGCCCTAAGGGCTCGTCGCGTCGAAGATGAGCAAATGAAACTCACATTTGCTCAGACCCACTTGGCAGGGCGTGCCAAAACTTGGTCCCTGGGGCTCGAGAGTAGCGACCCAAATGTGTTTAGGTCGCTAGATGACTTCAAGTCCCGGCTCAGACAAACGTTTGAGCCGCCACGTGCTGAGTTCAGGGCTCGCTCAGAGCTCCTGAAACTCAAGCAGGGTAAGCGTGATGTGCACGCTTACGCACAACATATACGACTCCTTGCGAGTAGTATAACTGCTAACCCGGTACATGAACACACGTTGATTACGGTGTTCATGCAAGGGCTCGCAGAAGGGCCCGTCAGGAGCCACCTGTTCCGCCTTGAGCTGAATACGCTTGAAGAAGCGATATCAGCCGCGGAACAGGAAGACTTTAGCATGAGACAGGCTCATGCTAGCTCAAACTCTTACCGTCCACCGAGACGACAAGAGATCGGAGGTCCAGAATCAATGGACCTCTGATATGTTGAGAGCGAGAGACCTCGCTCTACAAACAACAAGCGATTGCAGAGGTGCAATCGCTGTCAGAAGTTAGGGCACTACGCATACGAGTGTAGTGCTCCACGCCCAGTACCAAACAGTACTGAGCGAAATGGACGACCTTTTGCCAGAAAGGGCAATGGGCGTGGGTCCAGCGCTGTTGCGAAGCCGCAACAGCGAGACGGACCATCAAAAAATGGTCGGGGTCAGTAGGGGCGGAGCGCCCTACTGATCCAGCAACCTCAAGAGAATTTGCAAATCTCTTGACGAAAGTTGCTCCAGATACACAATCATTGTGTGTCTCTGCACCTGGTGATGACGTTTCGCTCATCACCTTGAAGTTGGAAGCGACAAATGATTTGTCGCTTCGTGCCCTAGTAGACTGTGGGGCGTCGAACAACTTTGTTCGTCGCCAGTCACTAGAGGGTCGTAGGCTCAAGTTCGTTGAGCGCGACATTCCCCTCACAAGGATGACGGTGCGCCTTGCAACAGGCGCATCGATAACCGTTGAGAAACGTGTAGTTGGAATCCACTACACGTTAGAGGGCGAACAGTACGATGATGACTTCATCGTACTAGATCTGGATGACAAATTTGATGTCATCCTGGGATTACCTTGGCTCAGAAAGTACGAGCCAAGAGTGAGCTGGCAGCATCGATCCGTGAAGATGCCTGCTGCTTGTTCATCAGATGGCCATCTGATGAACACCTTGGAGCGTCCACAAGCGTGTGGATGCTCTGCGAGTGAGTGCGATGGCCTCACTTGCGGTACGGTCGTTAGCACGACTGCACAGGATCACAGTGTAGTTGATCACTACACTGTGGAGCAAGCTCCCGGCGGCTGTACAGAAGTACAGGCTGCGCCGAAGGTCCACCACTCGAATGAGTCGAGTGGACCGGGACATGGATGCATGCCTAGCGGGCAGCATCTTAGAAGAAAGAAGTCTGTTGCCCCCAAGGGGCAACATGAAAATCCTAGGTCGACTGGAGAGTCGACCGTAGAGGATCGGTTCCTGACTGTGGTTGCACAGCCACAGTCGGAAGACGTCGAGGGAATAAGTCCCCACGTACTTGAGGAAGGAATTCCTCAAGAGTCGCTTGCTGAGGGATTAGGCCCTCAGCAACCTGTGGAAGCAAGTTCCCAGGAAGAAACCGAGACGTTGAACGTCTTGGTTAATGACGGATCAAGCGTAGGCGCTTATACGCTTGATCTGATTGTGCCTCCGAAGTTGACTTCGGAGATAACTCAGTTGCCAACGCTAGAACCGAAACGGTTCTTGCGTGATCTGCGTAGTGGCAAAGTCAAGCAGATCCGCATACTCGTCACAGAGGACGAGTATGTGACCGACATTCGGTCGGCAACAGTATTTGCTGAGAACGAACGGGTTCTCAGCAGCTCATCGATGGACGAAAGTGTCCTCGATGAGAAGACTCGGATTGAGCGATACGCGTCCCAATCCTGGGAGTCACTTCAGGCAAATCCTTTGTATGAGGATTTGATCGAATTCAGGGATGTGTTCCCTGAATCCGTACCTTGCGAGTTTCCTAAGGACAAAGGCACTCGACACGAGATCGAGCTCAAACCGGGCTCGAAATACTGTGTCATGAAGCAGTGGCCACTGCCTCGTGAACAAGTGATAGCGATCGACAAGTTCTTTGCCGATCGCTTTGCAGCGGGCCATGTGAGGGAATCAACATCCCCTCACAGCTCTCCGACCTTCTGTGTGCGAAAGGCCACAGGAGGGTGGCGGATAGTGCACGCATTCAACAAGTTGAATGCTGCAACGGTACCGGCTCAGACGCCGATACCGAGGAAGGACGTAATCATAGATGGTATGTCAAAGAGTACCATCTTTTCGTCCATGGATCTGATGGATGGATTCTATCAGATCCTGATGCGTGAACGGGACGTCCCGTTCACGGCAGTGAGTACCCCCAGCGGGATGCTGTGGGAGTGGCTAGTGATGCCACAGGGGCTGAGTAATGCCCCTGCAACATTCAACAGATGTGTAACAAATCTGTTGAGACCGGTGCGAGACTTCGCACCGAGTTACTTCGACGATGTGTTCGTCCATAGCCGGGATATGGACGGAAAGACGGACGTTGAAGTTCTCAGAACTCACGTTCGTCAGGTTCTTCAACTTATGCGCAAGCATAAGTTGTACGCCAACCTCAAGAAGTGCATATTTGCGGCAAGCGAAATACCACTTCTTGGGTGCATCGTGGGTAAACACGGCGTACGCCCTGATCCCGAAAAGATCAAGGCGATCACCGACTGGCCAGTGCCAGTCGATGTCAAGGGACTAAGGAAGTTCCTTGGTCTTGCGGCATACTTGCACAAGTACTCGCGCAACTACGCCGAGATGACTGTTCATCTTTCTTGCTTGCTCAAGAAAAATGTCAAGTGGTCATGGAACGCTGAGTGCCAGCGTTCCTTTGAAGGTATCAAGCGGAGCTTGATGCAATCGCCGATCTTGGCGATTGCAGATCAGGACAGACCATTTCATGTGGTCTGTGACGCCAGCGATTTCGCAATCGGCTGTGCGTTAATGCAGTTCGATGCAGATGGCGCGGAGCGCGTCATCTGTTATCAGTCGCTTCAGCTGCAAGCAGCTGAGCGTAATTACCCAGTGCATGACAAGGAACTCCTTGCCATGAAATACGCACTGGCTAAGTTTCGCGTCTATCTCTTGGGAGATAGACCGTTTGTTGTCTACACGGACCATGCGTCATTACGCACGGCCGTAAACAGCCCACACCTCTCGCAAAGAATGGCGAGGTGGCTGTCTTTCTTCGCGGAGTATAACTTCTCCGTGGAGTATAAACCGGGACGACTCAATGTCGTCGCGGATGCTCTTTCGCGCCGGCCCGATTTCGAGCCGGACGCACAATCCAACAGTGAGGATAAGCCCACTGTTGCGACACTGTCAGTCAGTGTCCCGTCGTCAAGTTTACTTGACGACGTACGAAAGGCATACGCGGAAGATAAGGATCTTCTGCGATTGATGGATCATCTGGTAAATCCATCCAGTAAATCCATGAGGGATTTACCGGCTTTGTACCGATCCTCATCGGATCGGTATAGTACACGCAACGGATTGCTGTACTATACAGCCGTTGCCGACGAC